TAATAGAAGACTATGTCTTTAGCGTTGGTTCAATTGGTTTTCGGTTTAGTTTTGATTCTGGTTTATTTTGGTTTAGTGATGCACATTTGAGTTGGTTTTGGTTTTCGTATTTCTTGAGTTTGTATAAGTAGAACTGTTTTTCTACTTTTGAATACAAGAGAAAATTTCCACAATTTGTTTCTTCCGCATTCTCTCGATCTCCGATTTCAAAATAAATTTTTGATTAGATAGTAAGCACCGACCAACACATTTATAGAATTATATATATGGATACATAATAATTTGAGAAGATATAAAAAAATACAAACAAAAATATATAAAATGGACAAATGTATATAGAATATGGTTTACCAAAAAAAAGTATATTATGAAGACAATATTTTTGTTATCTTCCTTTGGTAGTGTATTTTCTGTGTTATTTATTTTATATCAAACGTGAAAACGAAAAAAAAAAATACGATCATAAGTAACTACTTTGAGACAGTGATTATTTATATCAATATATATATATATATATATACACACACACACACACTTTCCCGGTAGGTACGAGGTAGTTTTCTGTCTTTATATGACACAACAAATATGTATTACAACCCACATATTTTTATTAATTTAATTTTTTTTTGAAGCACATGGAATTTGTTGTATTTGAGATTTAAGAAAGCCTCCCTCGGTTGGGAGCCTCGACTATATATGATTAAGTCTTTCCTTTGACATGTCATTTCCCCGAAATGGTTACTGATATAAAATTTAATATTGCATAAGAAAAAAAAAACAATATCATACACACACACACACATATATGTGTGTATATATATATATGGCGGTTACGGTTGTATAATATTATTCGGCCTTACCAAATTTCCAATGATTGTTTTGTTGGTTGAATTGAATATTATCTAATGATACAATCAGTAATAAATGGTCTATAATTTTTTTTCCCAAGTACACGCTTACCCTTTTAATTCCAAAAATTTCTACGATCTAACAAATAAAATAAATATATTATTCAATTTTGTATATCCACCAACCTGAATACCAAAAAAAAATGTATATCCAAAATATTACTCTGTAAATTTGTATATTTTTGCACATATACTCAATTTTTTATGTTGAGCCATATATATGTGATTTGTAAACTAATAATTATTGATATTTTTCAATTTAAATAGGACTATGTATGTCATGTTTGATCCAGATTAGTCAACGATGACATATTTCAACTATAGTATATACATAGATATGTATGTATGTATGTATGCATGTATGTATGTATGTATCTACTAGAAGGGTTTACAGAGAGGAAAGCCAATGGTATGGGAAGAGTCAGCCCCCTTCCTTGGTTTCTTCCACACGGCTCTTCCCAAAATTGCCAAATATGAAAAATACCTACAAAGCCATACAAAGTTGAATCTAACGTCACCATACCCTCTCTCTCTCTCTCCCCCTCCAAAGATATATATAAACCCTAGTTTGCAAAGAAGAGGAGAAGCAGTCTCTCTCTCTCTCTTTCTCTCTCCAGTCCATAGATTGCTTGGGTTGCAAGTAAATGGGGAGGCAGCAAAGGCTGTTGCATAACCTGAAGAAGGGAGAACAGATGAAAGAGCAGGAATTTGGTCGGCTTCTTTCATATGCCGAAGTGTTCACCAAGAGATCGAAGCCGAAGCTTATCTCACTTCTTCTCTTCTCTCTTCTCTCTGGTTGCTTCATCTTCGCTCCTCACCTCCTCTGTTTTTCTCCCCCTTCTGCTCTCTCCCCACTCGGTATGTTCACCTTCCCTGAACTGTTCATGTCGTGGTACAAAGCATATATTTTGTTTTCAGTCTTGTTTTTTCTTGCTGTTCTGAACTGTTCTTGTTCCGGGTTTTACAGGTTCTGTAAAAGCGAGTGATGTTCATAGCCATACCCTTCTCTCCATGCCTTCCACTGTATCGGATGGTTAGTACTTAAGCATTCTCAGAAGATTAGCCGTATAACTTCAGACAACACACTTTTAAGCATCAGGCGAAAGATTCTTGCAGAACAAACTGTCGTCATGATCTGTTTCTGGTCTGATCATATTGAAATTTGTTTCTTCTGGTGAATATATGCAGAGGGTATGTGGTGTGACAGAACAGGATTCCGCACAGACATCTGTTTCATGAAAGGCGATATCAGAACACACTCGCCTTCTTCTTCAATCTTGGTCTACACCGGCTCACAAGACAGATCAGACGGTTTCACCAACCATGCCTCTCATGAAAAGATCAAACCCTATACCAGGAAATGGGAGGCGAGCGTAATGGATACCATTACCGAGCTAAACCTCGAAAGAAAGGATGCAAAACTCGGTGATGGGCGCACCTGTGATGTGCATCATGATGTTCCTGCCGTGGTGTTCTCAACAGGGGGATATACAGGGAATGTATATCACGAGTTCAACGACGGGATTATTCCCCTGTATATAACATCACAGCATTTTGCCAAAAGGGTTGTTTTTGTGATTTCTGAGTACCATAAATGGTGGGAGATGAAGTATGGAGATGTTGTTTCTCAGCTCTCTGACTATCCACTCATTGATTTCAGCAGAGACAAGAGAACTCACTGCTTCAAGGAAGCCATTGTTGGCCTTAGAATCCACGACGAACTGAGAGTGGATCCCTCCCTGATGCAGGACAACAAAACCATCATAGATTTCAGAAATCTCCTGGACCGAGCCTACAGACCGAGAATCAACAGATTGGTTAGAGAGGAGGAGCTTCGGCTCAGTACAAAAGCAGCAAAGGAAAGAAAGGGTCCTGCAACCGGGCGACTGCAGAGGCCAAAACTGGTTTTGCTATCAAGAAACGGGTCTCGGGGGATCGAGAATGAGGATATGATGATGAAGATGGCTAAGCTAATAGGATTCCAAGTTGAAGTCGTGAGACCAGAAAGTAGGACAGAAATGGCAAAGATTTACAAGGTACTGAACTCCAGCAATGTCTTGGTCGGGGTCCATGGAGCAGCCATGACTCACTTTCTGTTCATGAGACCTGGAAGTGTCTTCGTTCAGATAATCCCGTTGGGGACAGATTGGCCAGCAGAGACATACTATGGAGAACCAGCAAAGAAGCTCGGTCTAGACTATATTGGTTATAAGATTCTTCCTAGAGAGAGCTCGTTGTACCAGAAATATGGTAAAGATGATCCAGTTCTTCAAGATCCGAGCAGTATCAATCAAAAGGGATGGCAATTCACGAAAAAGATATACTTAGATGACCAGCAAGTGAAATTAGAACTCCGAAGATTCAAGAAGGTGTTGCTTGATGCTTATGCAAAGGCCATCATGAGCTGACCTGAAATGGGTTTCATCAAGTTGTTGCTGTATAGTCTGCACACAAAGTACAATATAAAAAAAAATCAGATTCTTTGTGAACATATTAGATCTTCTATCGGGTTTCGATTTTCTTTTACAGTTCTCTGCATTGTACTAGGAGTTCTTCTGTTTGTGTCGTTTACTTATTGTTTCCTCTCTAGGGTTTTCTCTATAGCTTTGTATCCTATGTATCAATGACTTGTTCATATTTGGAGGCCTTTCTTTCAGTCCCTCGAAACGGGTTTTCTTGCATCTGCAATGCACATAATCTAAGGGCTTTCTCGCAGTAAGAAGGATAGCATAATCGACGAAAATGTAAGAAACAGATGCAAAGATTTTGGGAAACATGACGCTTTGATTAACCAGAACAGCTGAATGTTGTGGTACATTCATGGTTAATGAGATTTCCTGTTACAATATGAGGTCTCTTATTTACTTGAACCAACAAGACATTCTAGTCAGATCAGAATTCAAGTGTCAATGCTGAGGAAGTATGTGACTAGAGCCATCTCTTTTCTGCCATGGATGATGATGGATGCATAGGAGGAGGTGTCTTGGCATTTCTTGCATCATTAACTCCTAACAAAGCAAAAGAGAGAGAGAGGAGGACAGGTTTTATTTATCACCAAAGAAAGCAAGAACAGAGAGAGGGGCAACATGAACTTTATCGGCCATATTCTTACCATTCTGGATAGGTTTTCCCCCGAGAGATGACCTCCTCGATGATCTCTCAGTCCCTTCTGATGGCATTACGCCTGTCAGTGACCGCCGCCTCAGCATCCTTCCGTTGCTTGTAATTGGCGACTTTCCATCGCCGGAATTATTTGCAACTCTTAGGGGCGACCTTGGTTCCACCGAATTATTATTCTCTTTTCTGTGAAGTAATATGAAACATTTAACATCATGTGTATTGGGAAAATATAATTTAATTCATCAAAAGTGTTTTCTAATACCTCTTCTCTGAACCATTGATCAGTTTTCCGATATTTCTCAGCGACTTCCTTATTTGAGACCCTTTTCCATTTGCCCGGGAATCTGCAGAAAACGTTAGTTCGCTGTGCATTACAATCTGTATCTCGTTTCTCGAAGCTCTTTGATCAGGTGTTTTCGGTAACTGGATTTGAGGAATGCTTGTTCTGCCATCTATTTTCGCTACTCGTTTTTGGCAAGAGCCAGCAGGACTTCGAGGATCTACATTGCTAACATATCCATAACATTGAGGCAATTCTTCTGCATCGGGAATCTGCTTCTTCACAGGCACATTTTCTTTCCTAAAGGATTTCGGGCCTTCCAAACTCGATCTTCTTGAACGGTTGGGCATTGTGGGGGTTTTAGGACCTTTCCTCTCCTCCAAATTCCTTCTCTCGGTCTTTGTGATGCTGCAGTTCTCTATGCTTAATATTCTGAGACGTGGAGGAGTTCTTTCCATTGTTGCAACAGGTTTGCCAGAAGGAGATTTTACCTCCTTTATTCTGTAAGCAGTGTTATATCCCTCCTCCTTGCTAGCCAGTGTCTTCTTAAGGTTCTCAATCTGAAAGAAAGTTACCGAAATATATGAGTAAACACACAACGTGGTATAGCCTTTCGCTACTCGGTTTGAGAATGATGTTTACCTGCTCCTTGAGTTGCACAACTTCTCTAGTCTCTTTGTGTGCTCGAGCAGCTCCAAGTTCCACAGTTGAAACTCTTTGTGCAAACTTCAAAGTACTGATTGTTTCGCTGAAGGAATCTTCCTCGGGACTCAAATGAGCAAACATCAATGTTTTAGCTTGCCCACCTAAAATGAAAAACATGAGAGGAAGTGTCAATGTCAATGATTTCACACGAGATCCAAAACGGAAGCAGAGACATAGGATTCTTTCTTACTTTTCTCCATCCCATAAGAACCAATGGAGGAAGTGATCCAATATCATATCACTAGAGAGTAAAAAAGAGGCAGCAAGAAGAAGAGAAGGAATGTGATCTAGGGCTAGAATATATCAAATACCTAATGACTCTTGAAGTAAAAGGGTCAACTTGCTGTTGCGGTATGGGATGTGAGAATTTTTCTGAGCCAAAGCTGAGATGACATCTCCTAAACAAGCAAGAGACTTGTTGATATACTGTGCTTCCTTGAGTCTATCTCCTGTAACTTCAGATTTGTCCACTCTCTCACTCCCTGCAAGGTCCACCAGATGTAAGCAACTCCTGAGAGTTCCCCCCGATGTATCTTTTCCACGTACGTGCACTGTAAGGATACTGCAGAACAGATAAATGATTTATTTAATCATAAAAGCAGTAACTCCAATATTCTGAATGTTGTCTGAACGAATAGTGCTTCATCATGTTCGAGTACCTGTGGGAGCGACTACTTCTATTGTTCATGGACGTGGAGCTAACAGTACGGTTAACCTCACCGGCCTCCATCAGCCTGATGACATCCATCGTGGATTTCACAGAATGCATTGTAGCATCAGGAAGACTCAGGCCATCCTCGTTGGAGCAACTTCGAATTTCTAATGTGCCGAGTTGTCAAGAAGAAACGAGAATACTCCGACAGAACTTGTTAAAACTCAAAATATAGAAGCCATGAAACTCAAAATATAGAAGCCATCCTCGTTGGACCAACTTCGAATTTCTTGATTTTTTTTCCAAGGATAACTTTGTTAAAACTGACAATATAAAAGCCATGAAAGGATATCTGGTGGATGAAGAATTTTCTGCAAGAAGGTCTCGAACTTGTTCATTGTATATCTCGACCATTTGGACATAAATCTCATACGTCATGATGTCCCTCCTTTTGTCACTTATCAGAAAGAGATCACTGAGAGCCAGATAGTTGATACCCATTTCTGTAGCTGATCTTCCTGGTGGACCACTCTACAATAAGATATATATGTTATGTGGTAGATGTCTTCCAAGTGATAACTCAATTTGTAAAAAAGTAATTACCATCGTGTACGTTTTCCCTGATCCCGTTTGGCCATATGCAAAGATGCACACATTATAGCCATCAATCACCGATCTAATCAATGGTTGTGTCTCTTTAAATACATCATCTGTGCATAAGAATAAGGAAGTTTCAGTTTCCATATGAAATAAGTTTAAATTCAAATATGAGCTCAAAGCCTTTGCCATAGTTGTGAATTTACCTTGAGTTGCTGATGGACCAAACACCTGATTAAACCGAAACATTTTTCTTGCATCTTTCTGAGTCTTTGATGGATCTAAAACCACTAAAGAACCATCTTCGCCTATAAAATCTACCACTCCTTTCCAGTCACTATTGAATATTGGTCTAACTCTGCAGTAAACTCTTATACTTCCTGCAAATATGTAGAATGGATTAAACGCCCTATAAAAAGGCTAATATCAAATTAACTGCTCCTTACATTTCAAAACGTTTTTTACCTTTTAAATCTTGCACCATGTTATATAATTTTTGGTTCTCTTTAACCACCTTTTGATATCCAAAAGCCGCTGATGACATCTCTTCTACCCAATTCCCTGAGCGTAAGAATCACATGGCAGGAAAAAAAGAAAAGATGAACTGAAGAACAACAAACTATCTGCAAAATTAATCTTTATATCAAAGACAAAGGATGAAAATTTGCACAGAAGAGTAAAGAAATAAAAACCCAGAAAGCAAAACTAACCTAGTTCCCTCAAGTCTTTTTGCAAATGGAGCTGAAAATTCTCTAAGTCTTGCTTGGTTTCTGAAATCAAAGACTTAAGATCCTGAACAGGAAAAAAGGAGCAGACAACTTAGATAAGCATTGAAGCCAACAAAGAGAGAACAAATCATCATGGATAAGAAAGAACTCATTACACAAACATGAAGTGAAACTGATAAGAAGGTGTGCCATAAACAGTAGTCTTCATTGATCATGTAAATGTTTTGCTAAAGCCTTGCAGAACTTCATAAGAACAGCTTAACAAAATCCTACCACGAGTTCCTTTTCTTGTAATTTCAGTAAACGCTTGTGGTTGCATTTCCCTTTTTGTGGGCAGCTTCTGCAGCACTGAGCAAAAAAGGGGGTGTTGGACAGGATGTGTTACAAAAGTGTTCTTGTTTAGCACAAACACGGTGCAATTCTTTATGTAGTTCAAACATGAAAACGAAAGAGGAAAAGAAAATACCCGGTATTTGTCATGAAAAGGTAACTCCCCCAGGGGCATAGATTTTAACTCTGATGGTTTGCAATTACCTTCTTTGAGAAAATCCTTGAAGACGGAATGAAGCTGTTTAACAACATCAAAAGGGATTTTGTCAGGTTTGCCAATCTATCAGGGCAAAATTTGTCTTCTTTGAAGGTGTCTGACTAGATACATTCAAATGATTTCCACAAGGCACATACATCAGCTATTTTCTAAACCTGTAACCAAGCCAGCTGCAGAAAATAGCAAGTTTGATTTCTATGCGGAAACCAACGGTTGACCAGTGAGATTGCAACTTTAGGAACCATTTACAAAATTTTTCAAGTTCTCAACTCACCTCTGGGAACTCTCGTTCTAGCTTGTCACTCACGAAACTCGTGATGATTTTCTTGAAGGCTTTTCTTGAATTCTGCAATCCATATAACTTCAGCAAGTGAACAAAGTCCATAACTGTTAAAACTGTAAAAACCAGAACAATAACATACAGAAAAATGCTGCAGAACTTCTTAAATTACCTCGCTACCAATAACACCAGAAGTGAGATTCTCATCCATGTTTTCCTTGGAATCAGCAATCTCATCAACCAGCAACTTTGCTATGACATCTGCAAGTATCAATTCCAAAACAAGGAGAAAGGAAAAGAACACATAAGCAGGGAGTTTTAATGAAACAACTAGAACGTCGCCTCGTGGTGAAGTTTTAATGAAACTTATACAGCCTTAAAAGGAGGGAATCAGAGATAAGAAAGCGTAGATCAGACCTTCAAGTTTATTGCTTTTACTGTCTGTGAATCCCGTTTTGTCACGAACAGAGGACCTGTCTAGATGCTTAGATGAGGTCGAAAGGATTTTAGTGGCAGAGTACTGAGCTGTGGGAGTTTTTATGTGCTTATAAGACCCATTTCCATTGCTTGTTAACTTCCACTCTTGATACGCCTTAAGGCCTAAAATGCAATCCACAACCTTGGCTACGGATCCTGACTCTAGATTATCCTGTGACATTTCATGTTGAATTCCATTGCTCAATAGTAGAAAAGTTGGAATAAAAAATGCATATAAAAACTTAAAATGTTTTACCTTGTCAAGATCGGAAGCTTCAAATGCCGGCAGCTTCAAGTTTTCCAAAGCCACGAGAAAATTCCGAACGTTTTCAAAGTATTGATAAGCAGCAGGAGGCTGATACTCCCGGCTAAATGATGGCATATGAGAATAGTTCTCCACAACCTTTAAGTGGACATTGTCATTACAAAGAACCCATTAACAACACTTATCGATTGGATTTTACCAAACAGAAAGCTGTTCTATGCCCAGTCGAGGATTCGAATAGACGAAAAAAATGTTACTTTTGAAACAGCACCAGGGTGAATCTTGTTAGTGGCATTGCATAAAATTTCACAGTTTCGAACTCATCAAGACAGTAATAGTAAACAGAAAACTGTTCTGAGCTCGATCAAGGATTCGAATAAAGGAAGAAAATGTTACCTTTGAAACAGCACCAGGGTGAATCTTGTTAATGGCATTGCATAAAATAAGACCATTTCTCAGGCAAGAAATGAACTCCTTCTCCGATGGTTGACTCGAGATACCAAGCGGACCAACTGTGGAATGAAGCCATTCCACGGCTTGAAATCGCCTCATTGCTGCAAAATCAGCACAGACGCAGTCAACCACACGGGATCGGAAACATATCATCCGGGTTTCTTTTTTCGTTTGCTCAGCAATTCAAACAGGAAAATTTAGATAATTTTCTTAGAATCCAAACAGATCCGAAATGCCAAAGAAGATAGAGAAAAGATTCCACAACTGTCACGAACCCGCTTCCTCGGCTCTTCTTGAGGTCATGTTAAAGTCATGCAACCCAGTTCTCAAGCTCGTCATCAGAACCCACTTCTCGGTTTCTTCCTGAAATTAGAACAAAAGTTTCGAAATTTAGAAAGATCGTAAAAGGAAACAAATCAAGAGATGGCAAGACTTACCAATTTTCGGATTCAAATTTCTTGTCTTATGATTCAATTGCTCCTCCAAGCCCCTAGAAAGCCGAAGAAAGAAAACCCTAGAAAAGGAAGCACGAGGGAGAGAGAAGAGGAATGAAGATTTTTCTCCTCCTGCTTCTTGATTCTCTCTGAAAGCTGCTTCGTATATGTTTATTCGGTTAAATTGTAACGTTACTCTTTGCACTGTTTTTGAATTCAAAATGCTTAGCTAACGGATCTCAACCGTCCGATGGAATTTCACACTTTTTATTGGGCCTTAATATGGGCCTTAAATTTGGGCCTATTTATATATGAATAATTCAGATATATATATAGAGAGAGAGAGCGCTAAAACAAAGAGGAAAAGCACATACATTTCTTCATTAAATATACATAGAGAGAGAGAGCTAAGCCAAGAGGAAAGCTCAGACATTTCTTCGGATGCAGATACATAGCTAAAAGCCGGAGGGAAAAAGCTCATACATTTCTTCATTACACACACACACACACTATATATATATATATATATATATATATATATATATA